CTCAGCTACTTCAAACTCAATTCAAATTCTTCAAATGCCTTCATTAATGACTAACATGAGGCAAGTTATACTTTAGTAACCTTTGTCTATTACAATAGTAAGCAAAAAATCCTGGTTGAGAAATTTGGAGATGTTCAGGATGTAACCCTATTTTTCCCATGTGTTCTTTACTTTATTTAACTTCAATTTACGTAATGCACCAATTTTCAGGAACATGACCCAAGTGTTCTGAGAGGGCTTACTATAATTTAATGAGAATGTATGTTTTCTAAGACTCTGGTGCACTCTAAGCTTTCTGTATACAGTAGTGTATAATGGTTTTAAATGGGAAATTAAGTTCTGAGGGGAGTATTGACCATTACAAATAAAATACAGGTATACAATGTGTTTGCAAGAAGAGGACACATTGTATTTTACTATTCTCTCCCTCCCTCGGTGCATTTCTCACTAATTTCTCATATATTTTAGGTATAATCATAATTGCCGGGACCTTCAGAACATCTACACCTCCTTATTAGTTATAGTAAGGTTGATTTTTTACTGAATACAGTGGTACCTTGACTTATGAGTTCCCCAACATACGAGTTTTCTGAGTTACGAGCTGTCGCTCAGTTGATTTTTTGCTTTGAGTTGCGAGCCAAAATCTGAGTTACAAGCAAAAAAAAAAAATATTTACTGAAAAAAATATTTTTTTTTTTTATTATCACACTGGCCGATTCCCACCAAGGCAGGGTGGCCCAAAAAAGAAAAACTTTCACCATCATTCACTCCATCACTGTCTTGCCAGAAGGGTGCTTTACACTACAGTTTTTAAACTGCAACATTAACACCCCTCCTTCAATATTTACTGAAAATGACATTTGGCAAGAAACCCAGCCAAAATGGCATGACAAAAGGTGGTTTTGGGACTTGGTACTTATAAAACAAGCCAACTGTAGAACAATAATTTTTTTACAATTCCTGTCAATATTATTGCATTTACTTCAATAATAAATGGTGGGCTTCATGAAATAAGTCAATAACTTACTTCTGAGATATTCATATATCACTGCACTAGTGATCTAGTGCAATTAGCCTCTCAAAAATTCTGTTTTCTCTTACCCAGGACCAAAGAACATATTATAGAAACGAGCAATAATGATTTTATATGCTCGGCCTGGGCTTGGATACTTCCGATACTACAGTCTATTTTATTCATTCTAGATTCTATATATCATGTTTTTATCTTACTTAGTGTTTATTATGTCATATTAGATCAATTCTAATAGATAAATAAGCTGTAGAGTTGATATAAGCGTTTTTTTTTTAACACACTGGCCGTTTCCCACCAAGGCAGGGTGGCCTGAAAAAGGAAAACTTTCGTCATCACTCACTACATCACTGTCTTGCCAGAGGCATGCTTACACTACAGTTATAAAACTGCAACATTAACATCTCTCCTTCAGAGTGCCGGGACTGTACTTCCCGTCTTCAGGAATCAAGTCCGGCCTGCCAGTTTCCCCGAATCCCTTCACTAAATACTACCCTGCTCACACTCCAACAGCTCGTCAGGTCCCAAATACTATTAGTCTCCAGTCACTCCTATCTAACATGCTCACGCAGGCTTGCTGGAAGTCCAAGCCCCTCGCACACAAAACCTCCTTTGCCCCCTCCCTCCAACCTTTCCTAGGCCGACCCCTACCCTGCCTTCCCTCCACTACCGATTGATAAACTTCCAAGTCATTCTATTTCGTTCCATCCTCTCTACATATCCAAACCATCTCAATAACCCCTCCTTACCCCTCTGGATAATAGTTTTGGTAATCCCACACCTCCTCCTAATCACCAAACTATGGATTCTCTGCATTATATTTACACCCACACATTGCCCTGACATGACATCTCCACTGCCTCCAGGGTTCTCCTTGTTGCAACATTCACAACCCATGCCTCACACTCATACAAGAGTGTTGGTATAACTATACTCTCATACATTCCCCTCTTTGCTTTCATGGATAAAGTACTTTGTCTTCACAGACCCCTCAGTACACCACTCACCTTTTTCCCCTCGTTAATTCTATGATTCACCTCATTCTTCATAGACCCATCTGCTGACACATTCACTCCCAAATATCTGAACACATTCACCTCCTCCAAACTCTCTCCCTCCAATCTGATACCCAATCTTCCATTACCTAATTTTTTTTCCTCATCACCTTACTCTTTCCTATACATGTATTTACTTTTAATTTCCTTCTTTTACAAACCCTGCCAAACTCATCAACCGAACTCTGCAACTTCTCTTCAGAATCCCCCAAAAGCACAGTGTCATCAGCATTAGCTGATGACACTGCCCCTGGGGTGTTTTTTTAGGGGCTGGAACGGATTAATGGCATTTCAATTAACTTCAATGAGGAAAACTGGTTTGATATACGAGCAAATTGAGTTACGAGCTTAGTCACAGAACGAATTAAACTCGCAAGTCATTGTACCACTGTACTTAATAAAAAATATAAGAAATACCAATTTTAGGTTTTTCAAGTACTTTTGTTGATTTTTTCCCATTAATACAGGAGAATCAGGAATAAAGCTTACTGATTACGAATATTTCATTACTGTGATAATTACATAAACTCTGAGCCAATACTGCGCTATATTCTAAAGAGATGCAGCAGTCAATTTGCATATATTGTAGTAGGAGAGAATAAATATTAAGTAAAATATGTCTGGAATTATTTTTTTTTTTTTCAACAAGTCGGCCGTCTCCCACCGAAGCAGGGTGACCTACACAGCAGGAACTGTACTATGTGAAAGAGTGCAAAAGGAGAGCAGATGACAGAGTAGGAAGAAATTTTGTCAAGAAATTTTGATGAAAATAAGAAAAATTTTTGGAGTGAGATAAACAAGTAAAGAAAGCCTAGGGAACGAATGGATTTGTTGGTTAAAAACAGAGTAGGGGAGTTAGCAGATGGGGAGCTGGAGGAATTGAGTAGATGGCGGGAATATTTTGAGGAACTTTTAAATGTCGATGAAAAAAGGGAGGCGGTAATTTCATGCACTAGCACGGGAGGTATAACATCTTTTAGGAATGAAGAAGAGCAGGATGTGAGTGTGGGGGAGGCGTGTGAGGCATTACGTAGAATGAAAGGGGGTAAAGCAGCTGGAACTGACGAGATCATGACAGAAATGTTAAAAGCAGGGGGGGGGGACAAAGTGCTGGAGTGGTTGGTATTTTTTTTTAATAAATGTATGAAAGAGGGGAAGGTACCTAGGGATTGGCGGAGAGCGTGTAGAGTCCCTTTATATAAAGGGATGGGGGACAAAAGAGATTGTAAAAATTATACAGGAATAAGTTTACTGAGTATACCAGGAAAAGTGTACGGTAGGGTTATTATTGAAAGAATTAGAGGTAAGACAGAATGTTGAATTGTGGATGAGCAAGGAAGTTTCAGAGTGGGTAGGGGATGTGCAGATCAAGTGTTTTCATTGAAGCATATATGTGAGAAGTATTTAGATAAAGGTAGGGAAGTTTTTATTGCATTTATGGATTTAGAAAAGGCATATGATAGAGTGGATAGGGAAGCAATGTGGCAGATTTTGCAAGTACACGTACATATGGAATAGGTGGTAAGTTACTAAATGCTGTAAAGAGTTTTTATGAGGATAGTGAGGCTCAGGTTAGGGTGTGTAGAAGAGAGGGAGACTACTTCCCGGTAAAAGTAGGTCTTAGACAGGGATGTGTAATGTCACCATGGTTGTTTAATATATTTATAGATGGGGTTGTAAAAGAAGTAAATGCTAGGGTGTTCGGGAGAGGGGTGGGATTAAATTATGGGGAATTAAATACAAAATGGGAAGTGACACAGTTACTTTTTGCTGATTATACTGTGCTTATGGGAGATTCTAAAGAAAAATTGCAAAGGTTAGTGGACGAATTTGGGAGTGTGTGTAAAGGTAGAAAGTTGAAAGTGAACATAGAAAACAGTAAGGCAATGGGAGTATCAAATGCTTTAAAGAAAAATTGGATATCAAATTGGGGAGGAGTATGGAAGAAATGAATGTTTTCAGATATTTGGGAGTTGACGTGTCAGCGGATGGATTTATGAAGGATGAGGTTAATCATAGAATTGATGAAGGAAAAAAGGTGAGTGGAGCACTGAGGTATATGTGGAGGCAAAAAATGTTATCTATGGAGGCAAAGAAGGGAATGTATGAAAGTATAGTAGTACCAACACTCTTATATGGGTGAGAAGCTTGGGTTGTAAATGCTGCAGCGAGGAGGCGGTTGGAGGCAGTGGAGATGTCCTGTCTAAGGGCAATGTGTGGTGTAAATATTATGCAGAAAACTCGGAGTGTGGAAATTAGGAGAAGGTGTGGAGTTAATAAAAATATTAGTCAGAGGGCTGAAGAGGGGTTGTTGAGGTGGTTTGGTCATTTAGAGAGAATGGATCAAAGTAGAATGACATGGAGAGCATATAAATCTGTAGGGAAAGGAAGGCGGGGTAGAGGTTGTCCTCAAAAAGGTTGGAGGGAGGGGGTAAAGGAGGTGTTATGGGCGGGGGGTTTGGACTTCCAGCAAGCGTGTTAGATAGGAGTGAATGAAGACAAATGGTATTTGGGACCTGACGAGCTGTTGGAGTGTGAGCAGGGTAATAATTAGTGAAGGGATTCAAGGAAACCGGTTATTTTATATAACTGGACTTGAGTCGTGGAAATGAGAAATACAATGCCTGCACTCTAAAGGAGGGGTTTGGATATTGGCAGTTTGGAGGGATATATTGTGTATTTTTATACATATATACTTCTAAACTGTTGTATTCTGGGCACCTCTGCAAAAACAGTGATTATGTGTGAGTGAGGTGAACGTGTTGAATGATGATGAAAGTATTTTCTTTTTTGAGGATTTTCTTTCTTTTTGGGTCACCCTGCCTCGGTGGGAAACGGCTGACTTGTTGAAAAAAAAAAATATATATATATATAAAAAAGGAAATGCACATATGGATCAAGAAGAAACATCTTACTTGATATGTTGCTCAGCTCTTGAGTGTCTTATATCATCTCTGATTTTTGCAGCATTAGGATCATTGTTGCGTGTTTGGTAGCCTCGCCAATGTTTCTGTAAGGTGATGGCTGCTTGAGCTTTTGTCAGATCTGAAGTACTGCTGCCACTACTACTGTTGCTTGAGCGTCGGCGGACATCCACTGTAGTTAAGGAGTTCTATATGACTAGTGTTCATGTTTTACTAGAACTTAATGTATTTATATTTAACTTTCATGAACAAAATTTTCTCATCTCCTCATTGCATAAAGGCAAATACGATTGGAGGGCTCTTTTTAGGGATAATTACCAGTCATCAATTAATTTCTTTAAGAATAATGTTCTTTAAGGAAAATGACATTTGTAGAAGTATTTTACAAACACTGGCAATATTACAATCCTTTCAGTATATTACCAGACATCAATCAATTTCTTTAAGAAAACAATAGTGTTCTTTAAAGAAAAAAAAAAAAAAGACATTTGTAGATGTACTTTACAAAACCTGACAGTATTACAATCCTTTCAATATACTGTATACAGCAAGATTATATCAACTTACTATTATCAGAACTTCTAACTGGAGCACCATTTCTATATTTCTCTGGGTCATAAGCATGAGATGAGTGCACAGGATCTCTACCACGTTTTTCTGTCTGCTTCCTTTCAGCAGCAATACTCTTAATTGTTTGCAGTTTGGAGACAGACATTTCTGAGTCTGTATTATCTGAGTCAGCATCTGAATACCCATGATGTGGTGAAGCAACTTTCTTCTTAGCTGAGTTTGATCTTCTGCTGAGAGAGCAGTTTACACAATATCAATCAGCATAAAAAATTTCTGCTCTTCCTTACTACTTTTAGTACACAAAACAACAATATCAATCTTTACCTTCGAAAATCAACGAGAGCCAATGCATGGAAGAACAAAAAACTACTTTTTTGTGTAATATTCAATAAACCACTTGAAATACTTCCTAAACAACAATTTTATAACCTCCCTACCAATTTCAAGCTCGGTTCATATCTGTTTTTTACTGAATGTATACTTTTAATGAGAGAGATACAACCCCACAACAACAGCCATTTGAAAACAATTTGTGTTATAGTAGCTGACAGGGAAAATAATTAGTCTTCATGGCTCATCGAACTCTACACAGAAAGCAGTTTTCCATTCGTATAATTGCTATATTCTGATCAACCTCTAAGAATCTTATCATCAGTACCCTATGAACAGTGAAATATATTAAATTATAAACCTTAGTTCTGATACAGAAAACTCAAACAGGGAATTTCATAAACCACTGAGCATAATCTCAACAGCCAGGATGCAAGTATAGGATATCTCTTACTACAAACCCTGAACAAGGCCCTACATCATGAGGGCAGGGATGGCATTAATGATTATCTCCCTGGTAGCACTGCAAGTACAATATAGTAATTTCCAGGTTCAGCAAACTGAAACATCCTTGGATAATTACAGACAAATACTTAACTCCCATGTATATCTGTAGAATACACCACTGTCAGGACTTAAAGAAACATCTGCATTAACCTGTGTGATCCACAGCTGGCTGTTTTGGTAAACACCACCTCTTGTTTATACAGATACAGGTTGTATTGCATCACAACTAAAGCATCATGTATAATCTGAGTCATCTTCAACCTTTTTCTCTGGTCCAGGTCATGTCAAAATCTGAAGCCCAGCTGATGACAAACTCATCTAGCCCACTTTAGGGAAGAGAAGCTAAAGTCATCAGTGTTTCCTAATACACCCTCTCCTCACTTAATGAAGAAGTTCTGTTCCTAAGACCTTGTCGTTAAACAAATTCGTAGCTAAATGAGGAGCATACTATAATGGTAGCGAGTTTGTGTCAACTATCTTTGATATTGTGTTAATGTCACCTTTGCACCATTTATAACATTCCTGGTATATTTTTAAAGGTTTATACAGCAGTATACTGTATACTGAAATAAACAGTACGGAGGAAATCAGCTCTAATATACATTATTTAGGTATGAATACTGGTCAGAGAGCCCGTCGTAAGTCCGAGGCATCAGTAAACGGGTATGTCGCTAAGTGAGGAGAGGATGTACATATACAGTAGACCCTCGCCTAACGATATTAATCCGTTCCTGAGAGCTCAACGTTAGTTGATATTATCATTAGCCGAATTAATTTTCCCCATAAGAAATAATGGAAATCAAATTAATCCGTTCATGACACCCCAAAGTATGAAAAAAAAAAATTTTACCACATGAAAAATTAATTTTAATACACACAAACTGAAGAAGACATGTACAATTACATGACACTTACCTTTATTGAAGATCTGGTGATGATTGATGGGATGGGAGGAGGGGAGTGTGTGGATGGTGTTAATGTTTAGAAGGGGAATCCCCTTCCATTTGGACTTGAGGTGTCAAGTCCTTTTCCGGGGTTACTTCCCTTCTTTTAATGCCACTAGGACCAGCTTGAGAGTCATTGGACCTCTGTCGCACAACATATCTGTCCATAGAGCTCTGTACCTCCCGTTCCTTTAAGATTTGTCTAAAATGGGCCATAACATTGTCATTGTAATAGTCACCAGCACAGCTTGCAATAGCTGTGTTAGGGTGATTTTCATCCATAAAGGTTTGCAGTTCAACCCACATTGCACACATTTCCTTAATCTTTGAAGTAGGCACAATGGATTCCACAACTGGCATAGGCATCTCAGGGTTAACCCCAAACCCTTCAAAATCTTTCTTAATTTCCATACTAATTCTCACCCTTTTTATCACAGGGTTGACACTAGAAGCTTTCTAGGGGCCCATGGTGACTTATTTTGCAGGTGCCATCACTAAAAACGTTGTGATAATATGAAATGTTCTGATTGCATGTTTGGATGCGACCGCGGTGGCTGGCTTGTAAACACTGGCACCCACGGGACAAGTGAGGCACGCTCAGGCCACACGTGGACACGTCTCAAATGGAACGAATCGAGTTGGGCGAGTTTTTTAGTGCTAGCCGAGGCAAAATTTTTGCGTTAAAATGTATCGCTAGGCAGATTTAACGTTATGCAATGCATTCGTTAGGTGAGGGTCCACTGTACAAAGCTCAGATTATTCTATTCTGATACACAGAACACAAAGAGTAGTATTAAACAGAGCAAAACCCAGCATTAGAAAAATTAAAAGCTCGGTACCCCAATGTAGTCCTGGTAAGATAAGATAAGATAAGATTTCGTTCGGATTTTTAACCCCGGAGGGTTAGCCACCCAGGATAACCCAAGAAAGTCAGTGCGTCATCGAGGACTGTCTAACTTATTTCCATTGGGGTCCTTAATCTTGTCCCCCAGGATGCGACCCACACCAGTCGACTAACACCCAGGTACCTATTTGCTGCTAGGTGAACAGGACAATAGGTGTAAGGAAACGTGTCGGAATTTCCACCCACCGGGAATCGAACCCGGGCCCTCCGTGTGTGAAGCGGGAGCTTTAGCCACCAGACCAACCAACAGACCAGCCAACATAGTTAAAAACCCCTCACTGCAGTTTTGTACCATCATTTGCAGATGTCAAAATGAGCATGAAAGTCACCTCAGTATAAGACACAAAAAATTGCAAGAAGATATAAGCAATGATGACAAGTTCCAACTGCTTAGATACTCAAAGAATGAAGAAATTACAAGTGACACTGGATGCAAAATGCAAGATCACCAATAGAACGAAAGGAATGCACGAAGGACTTGGGAACAATAATGTTAGCTAACCTTTTCTTTCAGGAACACGATAAGGCAAATGTCACAAAAGCCAGAAAAATGGAACAGATAATGAGAACATTCGAATAACTCATGCTCTGTTGCTTAGAGTATTGTACATTGTTGATGCTTCTGTTCAAGGCAGAAGAGATATCAGAACTGGAACAGATACAGAGATCATTTATGACTCACATACTCAATAAAGCATTTAAATTACTGGGAATGTCTCAAAGAGAGAGAGATACATGATACATGAAAGGTACTGGAGGTGTAGCAGTAAATCTACATACTGCCATGCCATAACATCCTGGAGTGAAAGATACAGAAAGAAAATGAAAAGCAAGGGGCACTGTATCCACAAGAAGAGAACACTGCATCAACGTTCATGGTCCCAGACTATTCAACATTCTATAAGAAGATATCAGAAACACTGCCAGAACTAGTATAAAAGTCGTTGAGAGAAAACTTAAGAAGTGCCAGATCAGCAGTAGGAAAACTCTTGAAATGCATCAAAGACATATCATGGGTAACGGCCAACTGCCTAGGCAGGGTAACCCAAAGGAAGGAAGGAAGGAAACACATTCACCATCATTTATTCAACTGAAGTCTTGCAAGAAGTACTATAATATTCCTTAGTGATAGTAGGTTTGAATACCTGTGAATTAACTAACATAGGTAGTAGGTTAGTAGACAGTAAAGGCCCAAGGAAGTGCTGACATCCTGTTACAAGTGTGAAATGGAATCTTATTAAATGTTTGCACTCAAGCAGGAGTACTGTTTTTTTTTCTTTTCCTCCCTCACAAATATTCAAGATGGATGGTAAATCTAACAAACTTCTATTATATTCACATTCAGTGTAGACTTAGTTTCTTATGTATTTCGAAAAAGTTATTCCTCCAATATTTCATTTCCAATTTAGGCCTGATCTAAGATGGGGCCATGGGGAGAATATCCTAAATTATTAAGTGTCCTATGTTGGTGTTTTGTGTCCTTAAAGTCTGTCAGAAAGAAAGAAAGAAAGAAGCCTACTTCACCAACGTACTGAAGAAGGCAAGAGAAGCACGGGAATTAAGAGTAAATACCAGAAATCTGGATGGAAGAAGAGGTATAAACCTGACTGCTAGACAGTATATTAGTGTGAAGAAATGTATGCTTAATATAAATAAGGTTGAAAGACATTATTAGGACATTATATTTTAGAAAAACATGGAAGAGAAAGCACTGTAGCCTTTACTGGAAAGGCTGATTTAGGAGACAAAAGTCTTTTTAGCCTATACCTATGATGAGTTCCAAGAGTTTTTCTAATGCCCAGAGCAGGGCCTTGGACCAGGCTCATCTGGTGCTTGCTTGGTCAACCAGGATCTTGCTGCTAGTGGTCTGCTAACCCACAGCCCGGCTGATCTGGCACCTGGTAAAGATATTTGTCTGGTTTCCACTTGCAGACTTCTACACATATCTCAGCAGTGTTTCTAATATCTTCTGGTAAGATGTTCAATAGTCTGGAGGTCACAGACATTGATATAACATTCCCTTATAATGCCCATAGTGCCCCTACTTTTCATTGTGTGTATTTTGCACTTCCACATCTTACACTCCAGTATGCTGTTATGGTGGTGTGGAGATTTGGGACAAGGCCCTCAAATAATTTCCTGGTATATATTTCAGATATTTGGGAGATGACTTGTCAGAGGATGGGTTTATGAAGGATGCAGTTAACCATAGAATTCAAGAAGGAAAAAAGGCGAGTGGTGTGTTGAGGTATCTGTGGGGACAAAAGACGTTATTCATAGAGGCAAAGAAGGGAATGTATGAAAGTATAGTGGTACCGACACTCTTATATGGGTGTGAAGCTTGGGTTGTAAATGCTTCAGCAAGGAGGTGCTTGAAGGCAGTGGAGATGTCCTGTCTAAGGGCAATGTGTGGTGCAAATATTATGCAGAGTATTCAAAGTGTGGAAATCAGGAGGAGTTGTGGAGTTACTAACAGTATTAGTCAGAGGGCTGAAGAGGGGTTGTTGAGGTGGTTTCATCATTTAGAGAGAATGGAACAAAGTAGAATGACTTGGAGAACATATAAATCTGTAGGGGGAGGAAGGCGAGGTAGGGGTCATCCTCAAAAAGATTGGAGGGGGTAAAGGAGGTTTTGTGGGCGAAGGGCATCGATTTCCAGCAAGCGTGCATGAGCGTGTTAGATAGGAGTGAATGGAGACGAATGGTTTTGGGGACCTGACGAGCTGATGGAGTGAGAGCAGGGTAATATTTAGTGAAGGGATTTAGGGAAACCGGTTAGCCGGACCTGAGTCCTGGAAATGGGAAGTACAATGCCTGCACTTTAAAGGAGGGGTTTGGGATATTGATAGTTCGGAGTGACTATCTAAACTGTTGTATGCGAGTGCCTCTGCAACGACAGCGATTATGTATGAGTGATGGTGAAAGTGTTGAATGATAATGAAAGTTTTTTCTTTCTTTTTGGGTTTTTCTTTTTTTGGGGTCACCCTGCCTCGGTGGGAGATGGTCGATGCATTAAAAAAAAAATTATATATTTTTCTCTCCTCTGCTCCAGCGAATACATATTTAGGACTTTAAAGAATTCCCAGTATTAAATATACTTTGTATGTATATTTATTACTGGGACCTCCTTGTAGGCTCTATGCATGCCATAAACGATCTCTGTATCTGTTAGGCAATATTCCATATAAGAGAGCACAAGAGATTTGAAGTGTCACAAGTGGCACTACTTCTGTTGTTTTGAAAATTCTCATTATCCACCCTGTCATCTTCCTAAAGGTGGGAGAATAACTAAAACAAAAAAAATTCAGTTTGGTAGTTGTCCTTGATCACAAGGATTACATCTGAAAGGTTGAGTTCTCTCACACCCACACTCCTCTTGCATGATAAGCTCTTTCTCTTTTAAAGTAATTCTAAATACAGTATATATATATTATGTGTGAGTGAGGTGAAAGTGTTGAATGATGATGAAAGTATTTTCTTTTTGGGTCACCCTACCTCGGTGGGAGACGGCCGACTTGGGAAAAAAAAAAGAAAAATAAATAAATAAATACTTCGTAGTACAGACTTGATTTTATGAATGCACAATAGTAATACTTAAGTTTAAGAATTTATTACATAACAGCTCACCAAAACTCACAAAGTGTGCTGGCACTCCCAGCATAATTCTGATCCACCACAGAACAAGTCAACATCAAGCAATGGTGTGTTAAGACAATATACATCTTAGTATACCAGAAAAGATAAGTGAATTCATGAATTATATCTGCAATAAACAGGCATGTTTTTTAATACAAACTAAGAAATATTTTTACAGATTTCAAGAATCTTATTAGGCACAACAGAACAAATTCAAATTGTATCATTATTTTTGCTAAGGGACCTACAAGATCAAGACAGGAAATATCTTTTGTTAGGAGTACAACTAAAAAAGTAGCCCATATCTAACAATGGAGGATGGCATTAAAAGTTGTCTGCCTCCGAATATACCACCAAAATAGCACTCATCCAAAGGGCTTTCCTCAAAATATCACCCTGCAAAAGTAACTGCTTACACTGTTCTAAAGTGATTATTATTATTATAATAATAACGAACTGCTAAACCCACAAGGGCCATACAGGGCTGCCTAAAGTGATATATTAGTATTATACAGTAGAATGCAAAACAAGTCAATTATGTGTGTTTACCTGGTGGTAGGCTCTACAGAAACAGATCGCACATATCTTGGGGCTGGTTTGGGAGAAGGCTTGGGTCTAGGTAAAGTTGATGGCCCTGTATTGGTGTTCTGTAGTGTAGTAGCTGGTCTTGCAGTACGAGAAGGAGAGCCTCGGGCAATGTCAGTAGGGACAGGGCTCTTCAAGGGTGATGCTCGAGGCCGAGTTACTGATGATGAGCGTGACGTAGGTTGCTGAAAATTTAAAGAACAACTGCATCAAACATTACAATTTCAAGTAAACAAAAATTATATAAAAGAAGAGGCAATGATGACACAATAAATTTTTTGGTCTTCTCATGGTAAAACTGATAAAAGCTTAGGGAATGAGTAGACCAAGTGTTAACACTGAAGCATATAAGTGAGCAGCACTTAGATAAAGGTAAGGAGCTGTTTGTACTGTATGGATTTAGAAAAGCCATACGATAGGATGGATAAGGAAGCCATGTGGCAGATGTTGGAAATGTATAGAACAGGAGGTAGGTTATTAAAAACAGTTATGATTATTATCATGGGTGAGCATGAAACCCATAGGGATTATACAGTGCCTGTGAAGAGGAGGGGGGGGGGGCAGATGGAAGGCATTCAGGCTCAATCCAGGGAACTGGAGCACAGATTCAATTCCCTAAATCAAGAGCCCCTCACCAGCATCAAGGAACTTCCTTTGAGGGGGAAGCAGTTATGATTTTTTTTTTTTGTAGAGAGTGAAGTTCAGGTTAGGGAATGTAGGAAGGAGAGGGACTATTTCCCACTGAAAGTAGGACTTAGACAGGGATGCATTATGTCACCAAGGTTGTTTAACACAGTTATAAATGAGGATGTAAAAGCAGTAAATGCAAGCAGGTGGCACTGAAAGATGATGGCTCTGATGTAAAATGGGAGTTATCCCAGTTGTTTTTTGCTGATGACATGGGTTGGTGGATGAATTTGGGAAGTTATAGAAAAGAAGGAAATTAAAAGTGAATGTAGAAAAAGAGCAAGATAATGAAGGTCGCAAAAAGTCTAGGGAATGATAGACTGAATATCAGATTGGAAGGAATGAGTATAGAGGAAATGGATGTATTTAGATATTTGGGAGTGAACAGGTCAACAGATGGATCTATGATAGATGAGGTGAACCACAGAATAGATGAGGGGAAAAAAAGTGGGTGATGTATGGAAGTATCTATTGAAAGAACTTCACAGAGGCAAAAAAGGGAATGTACCAGAATACAGTGTTACCAACGCTTTTATATGAGTATGAGGCATGGCTAGAGATATGAGGAAGGCTAGAGGCAGTGAAGATATCATGTTCGATAACAATTTGTGGTGTGAATATCATGCAGAAAATTAGAAGTGTAGACATTAAAAGGTAATGTGGGGAGACCAAGGGTATAATTCAAAAGGCTGAGGAAGGGTTGTGAAGGTGGTTAGGGCACATAGAGAGCATGCCCATACAGCATAATGATTGTATGTATATTCACCTGTATGTGCTTATCTATTTATGGTTGCAGGGATCAATTCTCAGATCCTGGCCCTGTCTTCAAACTTTCCACTCTTCAGATTCATTCCCTCTCAGCCTCATGGGCCTTATCATACCTATATTAAAACTATGTATGAAGCCTAACCCCCCACTTTCTCACCAAGATCATTTCACTTTCCAATCACTCTGAGACCGAAGAGATACTTCTTAACAACCCTATGGCTCGTCTGTGACTAACTCCCTGACTATGGTATACCCTGAAAATAAATTTTGTGTATGTGAGATAAGAGTTTGAAAAAAAAAATTAGATTGAAAGATTGCATATTTATGAATTCAATAAGACTAAAATAAGTGGAATGTGATATGTTATAATTTTATGGTATGCTGAAGCTGGAAAAAGATTAACTTGAAGCTGTGTCCCTTAGTTTCCATTTCTTGCCTCTCAAACTGCCTAGCCCTGTCTAACTTATTATGCCCAAACTACCTTAACAACCCTTCCTCAGCCCTCTGAATTATACAGTGGACCCTTGGTTATCGGCCATAATCCGTTCCAGAAGGCCAGCCTAAAACCGAAATAACAATTCCCATAAGAATTAATGTAAATACAATTAATCCTTTCCAGACACCCAAAAATATTCACAAAAAATAATTTTTTTAAAGATTAATTATAGTTTTACATACACAAAACAATGAGAACTAAATAAAATAAATACATAAACAATTAAATCAGCATTACATACCTTTATTGAACTCTTCTTGGCTTATGGAACATAGAGAGGAGGAGAGAGGGAGGATTATTGTTTGGAAGGGAAATCCCCTTCCATAATGACTTCAGGTAACAAGTCCCTCTCTGGGGTTACTTCCCTTCTTTGTCTTTTAATGCCACTAGGACCAGCTTGAGAGTCACTGGACCCTTGTCGCACAAAAAAATCTGTCCAGAGAGGTCTGTTTCTGGCGTCTCTTTAAGATTCCCCTGAAGTGGGACAGGGTTTTGTCACTGAACATGTTGCAGATATGGGTTGTTTCAGCTTGGTCAGGGTGATACTTTTCAACAAGACTTTGGAACTCATTCCACTTTGCACACATGTCCTTAATCACTGAAGAAGGCACCTTCTCCCCTCTCTCGTCCTCCTCCTCTGAAGCTGTTCCAGTTGAAGGTCTTGCAGCTCTTCAGTTGTTAGCTCTTCCCTGTGGTGCTCCACCAACTCTTCCATATCCTCGCTACTCACATCCAACCCCATGGACTTCTCCAGTGCCACAATAGATTGCACAACAGGCATAGGGTCCTCAGGGTGAGCCCCAAACCCTTCAAAATCCCTCTCTTATACACAATCTGACCACAATTTTCTCCAAGCAAAGTTCAAAGTCCTGAAAGTCGCTCCCTCCCAAGCCTTACCTATAAGGTTTATGCAATGAAGGATATTGAAGTGATTCCTCCAGAACTCTCTTATGGTCAAGTCAGTGTCTGAGGTCACTTCAAAGCACCTCTGAAACACTGCTTTTGTGTAGAGTTTTTTGAAGTTAGAAATGACCTGCTGGTCCATGGGCTGGATGAGAGAAGTGGTGTTAGGAGGCAAGAACTTCACTGCTATAAAACGGAAATCCCTAAACAATTGGTCTTCCAAGTTTGGAGGATGAGCAGAAGCACTGTCCAGTACCAGGAGGCACTTGAATAGCAATTTCTTTACCAGGAGGTATTTTTTCACACTGGGGCCACATCAGCTCCTCGATTTGTTCTTTCTTTGCCAGGTTAGAAGTGATTGTTGATTTGTTTTTCCCATACATCCTGGCACGTTCTAGCATTTGAAAACCACTCTCAAACTTTTCAACAACTTCTTTCTTAAATTCCATCATGTTTCCAACTTTCTTTACCAAAGGAACTTTACTAGGAACTTTCTTTGGGGCCATGGTTACTTATTTCACAGTTGCTAACCATGAAAAACAATTGATTACAGTCAAATGTTTGAATGAATGAGCAGAAGCTTTCTCACTCGCCCAGAGATGAAACCAGACTGACGTGCAAGCGGCGGCACGCTGATGCATACCATACGGCTGATAAGCAAAATAACAGCTGATAACCGGAAGCCAAAAACCAGGCCAATAAGCGGAATGGCCGATACCTGAGGGTCCACTGTACTCTTGGTGATCCCATACTGCAATGTGTGATGTGAATGATATTCACCTAACACACTGCTCTCAAATATGTATGCCTGTATATATGCATTATCACCTATATGTGGCTGCAGGGATCGAATCTCAGCTCCTGGCCCTGCCTCTCAACTTGACAGATTCACTTCCTCCTAGCCATGTGGGCCTTATCGTACCTGCTCTTAATGCCATAAATGAAACCTGCTCCACCATTTCTTCACTGAAACTAAAGAAATGCTTCTTGGCATCCCTGTGGCTCAGGTGATTCTTTAACTTCCAGCTGTGTCCCCGAGTTCCTGTTCCTTGCCTCTCAAATAGCCTGTCCCTGCCTACCCTATTAATTCCCTGAGTATTTAATATGTATTATGTATGTATGAATGTAGGTACCATATATACCCATCCATAGGTTGTGATTTTAAAGCCAAATTATTAATCAAAAAACATGAGTGACTTATTCGGATTCTACTTTTGAAAGGCTGAAATTCTGACATAGTGAGGTCCATGCACTTCTTTGGTGCATCAAGGAATAAACCCCATTCAGTAACCATATTCCACCTTAAATATACAAATAAATTTTAAAATATCCAGTAATTCATTCTGGTCTTTTTCCTCACTTTGTTTACACAACACCTGAGCATTGTAAGTGATAGTTTAAACATAAAAAAAACAGTAGTGCAGTAGGCCTACTGGCCCATACTAGGTGGATCCTGCTCAAATGAAACCTTTCTTACTTTGATCACATTCAAGATTTTAGCTTCAATGATCAAAGGAGGGAGTGAGGTTGGGAGGAAGGTTTCAAAAATAGGTTGGATAAATATACGAGTGAGAAAAGTTAAATTTGAGTACAACCTGCCCTAGCATGGGCTAGTAGGTCTACTGCAGTGCTCTACTAGTCTTATGTCATATAATAGTTGGGTGAGAGTAGAATCCGTCTACTAAAGTACTGCACTAATCTTGTCATATAATGGTTGAGTGTGATTAAAATCTGCCTAGGATGGGCTAGTGTGAGTAAAACTTGTCTAGCATGAGCCAGTAAGCCTACTTAAGTGCTTCTTTAGATTTTGTTTATCAATTGTTACATTTTTTCCTGAGTTTTGACTAGAATATATTTTGAATTAGAAGCATCTGAACCCTTTTAGAGCTCATCAAAACCCAGGGTAGACTTATCCATGAGATATATGAAAAATCTGTGATATTTTGGCAAAATATCAGAGGTAAACATATACATGGAGCTGGGTTATAATACTTGGGTATATGTTGAATGAATATTACAAATTACTTTTCCAAAATCTTACTCTTGGGGAACCCTGAGATGCAGATGTTGACCTGATGGACGGAGGTGGACGCTGAGAACGTGACAAGGAGCTGGACCGTGCCACATTAGCACTCTGCTGTGTGGGGGCACCAGAAGAGCTGTGGGCCAAACTACCTTTTAGAAAAAGGAGGCACATACAAGGAAAATAAAAATGAAGTTACTATACTGTATATGAAAATACAAACAAAGAAAAGGCAAAGATCCAAGTAGCACCGCAATGTAAGAATAGGCAAATAGCACAGCCATCAATGGAAAAAATACTTGTTCTTATTCCACTTTCCTAAATTTAATTAAGTAAAAATTGCAATTCTCTAATACATATGTATTCCCTTGAAATCAAGCGAGTCATTATGTCCTCTATTATACAATAAATCCATAATTTATCAGATTAATGGGAGGGGAAGCTGGTGGCCAGTAAAGGCAAATGTGGTTTACTATGATTGCAACAATAATTCACAAGTCTGTAACTGACGAACTATACTGTTTCCAAATGAGCTGATCCAGTGAATTTTGTTCTGTATTTTCAAATTCCATTAAATCAAGGGCCTACTGTATTTCTGGTCTACAAGCATGTTTTTACCTAATGTGTGACACTACTGTGATTTGATCTTTATTAACCCTTTCAGTGTTGCAATCCCTGCTTGCAAACTTGCTCCCAGGGTCGAAGAATAAAAAAAATTTTTTTTTTTAACAAAATCTTAAGAATAATTTTGTATTATACAACAAAAACAACAGCAACAAAAAATTTGCAACCAGTACTTACTGAGATATAGAGGAGTGAAGATGACAGAAAATGAATGACATCAGCAACTGCCACTCACTCGGTAATATTATTTTTACTTTTATTCTATTTTTTCTTATCTTTTCTATCTAATATTTTATTTTTTCAAGTAACTTCTGTGGCCTGTGAGACCAATATAATGCATAATTTATATAAAGTGGCACCTTGGGATATGAAAAGCTCAAAACTCGAACAATTATGTAAGTGTATTTATGTATGTGCTTTTGTAAGTGTATTTTTGGGGGTCTCAAACAGATTAATCTAATTTACATTACAGTGGAACCTCGGCTTACGAAAGCCCCACCATGCGAATTTTCCAGGAGATGAACAGTCATCTGGTCGACTTTTCGCATCTGGATATGAACGAAATTTCAGGATGTGAAATTCCCCCTCATGGGAGGTTCCTTGGTGAGGGGCTCTTGATCTAGAGAACTGCATCTGTGCTCCAGTTCCCTAAATTAATAATAATATTAATAATAATAATAATTATTATTATTACAATACAGTGGACCCCCGCATAACGATCACCTCCGAATGCGACCAATTATTTAAGTGTATTTATGTAAGTGCGTTTGTACGTGTAAAAGTAGGTCTTAGACAGGGATGTGTAATGTCACCATGGTTGTTTAATATATTTATAGATGGGGTTGTAAAAGAAGTAAATGCTAGGGTGTTCGGGAGAGGGGTGGGATTAAATTATGGGAGATTCTAAAGAAAAATTGCAAAGGTTAGTGGATGAGTTGAGAATGTGTGTAAAGGTAGAAAGTTGAAAGTGAACATAGAAAAGATTTAAGGTGATGAGGGTATCAAATGATTTTGATAAAAAAAAAATTGGGAAAATCAAATTGGGGAGGAGGAGTATGGAAGAAGTGAATGTTTTCAGATACTTGGGAGTTGACGTGTCGGCGGATGGATTTATGAAGGATGAGGTTAATCATAGAATTGATGGGGGAAAAAAGGTGAGTGGTGCGTTGAGGTATATGTGGAGTCAAAAACGTTATCTATGGAGGAAAAGAAGGGAATGTATGAAAGTATAGTAGTACCAAAACACTCTTATATGGATGTGAAGCTTGGGTGGTAAATGCAGCGCGAGGAGAGGGTTGGAAAGGCAGTGGAGATGTCCTGTCAAAGGGCAATGTGTGGTGTAATATTATGCAGAAAATTCGGGTGAGGAAAATTTGGAGAAGGTGTGGAGTTATAAAAGCATTAGTCGAGGGCAGAAGAGGGGTTGTTGAGGTGGTTTGGTCATTTAGAGAGAATGGATCAAAGTAGAATGACATGGAAAGCATATAATCTATAGGGGAAGGAAGAGGGGTAGGGGTCGTCCTCGAAAGGGTTGGAAAAAAAGGGGGTTAAAAGGGGGTTTTGTGGGTGAGGGGCTTGGACTTCCAGCAAGCGTTGCATGAGCGTGTTAGATAGGAGTTGAATGGAGATGAATGATACTTGGGACCTGACGATCTGTTGGAGTGTGAGCAGGGTAATATTAGTGAATGATTCAGGGAAACGTTATTTTTTATATAGTCGGACTTTAGTCCTGGAAAAAGGGAAGTACAATGCCTTTCACTTTAAAGGAGGGGTTTGGGATATTGCAGTTTGGGGGGGATATGTTGTGTATCTCTATACGTATATGCTTCTAAAAATGTTTTATTCTGAGCACCTCTGCAAAAGCGTGATAAGTGTGAGTGTGGTGAAAGTGTTGAATGATGATGAAAGTATTTTCTTTTTGGGGATTTTCTTTCTTTTTTTGGGGTCACCCTGCCTCGGTGGGAGACGACCGACTTGTTGAAAAAAAAAAAAAAAAGTTTGTACGTGTATGTTTGGGGGTCTGAAATGGACTAATCTACTTCACAATATTCCTTATGGGAACAAATTCGGTCAGTACTGGCACCTGAACATACTTCTGGAGTGAAAAAATATCGTTAACCGGGGGTCCACTGTAATACATATGTACTACTACTACTAATAATAATAATAATATTAAAATCTTTCTTTCTTCTTTCAACAAACCGGCCATATCCCACTGAAGCAGTGTGGCCCAAAAAGAAAACAAAAATTTCTCTTTTCAACTTTAGTAATGTATACAGGATAATGGGTTACTAGCCCCTTGCTCCTGGCATTTTAGTCGCCTCTTACGACACGCATGGCTTATGGAGGAAGAATTTTGTTCCTTCCCCATGGAGTAATATTAAAATATAATACATGTATAATAATAATAGTGTTCACTCATTACTTACCTAAAAATATCTGTAGTCTTAATGTAGAGTGAGAGGTGAGTAAACATGATTAAATGAATAAATGAGAGAGAGAATGAGAGTGTAGAAGATTCGCGAGTTTTGTAAACAAACCAGTTGTTGCTGTTGTTGTTACCAGCCTGGACACGAATGTTTTTTGTTCACTCCGTCAAGCCGACTGGAAAAACATCTCATATTTATGTTAATTTATGTTTATTTGTTACATAGCGTGTTTATTATATAATTTTGAAAAAATATCATAGATGGATTAAGCAAAATGTCTATATTAATGTTTTATACACATTTATTGAGTCTCAGGGTGATTATTATCGTATTATTATTTTTTTTTTTTTTTTTTATTATCACACCGGCCGATTCCCACCAAGGCAGGGTGGCCCGAAAAAGAAAAACTTTCACCATCATTCACTCCATCACTGTCTTGCCAGAAGGGTGCTTTACACTACAGTTTTTAAACTGCAACATTAACACCCCTCCTTCAGAGTGCAGGCACTGTACTTCCCATCTCCAGGACTCAAGTCCGGCCTGCCGGTTTCCCTGAATCCCTTCATAAATGTTACTTTGCTCACACTCCAACAGCACGTCAAGTATTAAAAACCATTTGTCTCCATTCACTCCTATCAAACACGCTCACGCATGCCTGCTGGAAGTCCAAGCCCCTCGCACACAAAACCTCCTTTACCCCTCCCTCCAACCCTTCCTAGGCCGACCCCTACCCCGCCTTCCTTCCACTACAGACTGATACACTCTTGAAGTCATTCTGTTTCGCTCCATTCTCTCTACATGTCCGAACCACCTCAACAACCCTTCCTCAGCCCTCTGGACAACAGTTTTTGGTAATCCCGCACCTCCTCCTAACTTCCAAACTACGAATTCTCTGCATTATATTCACACCACACATTGCCCTCAGACATGACATCTCCACTGCCTCCAGCCTTCTCCTCGCTGCAACATTCATCACCCACGCTTCACACCCATTATAAGAGCGTTGGTAAAACTATACTCTCATACATTCCCCTCTTTGCCTCCAAGGACAAAGTTCTTTGTCTCCACAGACTCCTAAGTGCACCACTCACTCTTTTTCCCTCATCAATTCTATGATTCACCTCATCCTTCATAGACCCCATCCGCCGACACGTCCACTCCCAAATATCTGAATACGTTCACCTCCTCCATACTCTCTCCCTCCAATCTGATATTCAATCTTTCATCACCTAATCTTTTTGTTATCCTCATAACCTTACTCTTTCCTGTATTCACCTTTAATTTTCTTCTTTTGCACACCCTACCAAATTCATCCACCAATCTCTGCAACTTCTCTTCAGAATCTCCCAAGAGCACAGTGTCATCAGCAAAGAGCACTGTGACAACTCCCACTTTGTGTGTGATTCTTTATCTTTTAACTCCACGCCTCTTGCCAAGACCCTCGCATTTACTTCTCTTACAACCCCATCTATAAATATATTAAAACAAACCACGGTGACATCACACATCCTTGTCTAAGGCCTACTTTTACTGGGAAAAAATTTCCCTCTTTCCTACATACTCTAACTTGAGCTTCACTATCCTCGTATAAAAATCTTCACTGCTTTCAGTAACCTACCTCCTACACCATACACTTGCAACATCTGCCACATTGCCCCCCTATCCACCCTGTCATACGCCTTTTTCCAAATCCATAAATGCCACAAAGACCTCTTTAGCCTTATCAAAATACTGTTCACTTATATGTTTAACTGTAAACACCTGGTCCACACACCCCCTACCTTTCCTAAAGCCTCCTTGTTCATCTGCTATCCTATTCTCCGTCTTTATCTTAATTCTTTCAATTATAACTCTACCATACCTTACAGGTACACTCAACAGACTTATCCCCCTATAATTTTTGCACTCTTTTTTACCCCCTTTCCCTTTTAAAACAAAGGAACTATGCATGCTCTCTGCCAACCCCTAGGTACCTTCCCTTCTTCCATACATTTATTAAATAATTGCACCAACCACTCCAAAACTATATCCCCCCCTGCTTTTAACATTTCTATCTTTATCCCCTCAATCCCGGCTGCCTTAC